GCAGCAGCAGCAAAAGTTGAACCAGGCGCAGCAGCAGCAGCAAAAGTTGAACCAGGCGCAGCAGCAGCAGCAAAAGTTGAACCAGTCGCAGCAGCAGCAGCAGAAGTTGAACCAGGCGCAGCAGCAGCAGAAGATGAACCAGGCGCAGCACCAGTCGCAGCAGCTGAACCAGGCGCAGCACCAGTCGCATCAGTCGCTGCATCAGCAACTGCTGCAGCAGCGACTGCTGCAGCAGCAACTGCAGCAGCAGCGACAACTGCAGCAGCGGTTGTCGCAGCAGTCGCAGGAGAAGAAGCAGCAGGTGCAACAGAAGCAGCAGCAGCCGGAACCGAAGCAGCAGCCCTCGAAGCCGAAAGGTCTTCCTGCTCGACATCCGGCACCTCCCCGTCCGAGCGTCCCGGTCCACCTCGCCGCACCTCAGCCGGTCCCGAGCCTCATGGACACCACTCCACGTACGCTGGCGCAGCCTGTCAAGAAGCCGCTTCCAAAGGCAGGGAGAACCCAGGGCACGCCAACACCAGCGATGATGCAAGACTACGCTGCGGCGACGCCACGAGTATTTCCTCATACCTGTTCTCTTTGTAACAAAGCGTGTACCACAACGAAGGTGAGTGTAAAACCGCACTTTGTTCTCTTTACATTTAGGACAGTAGGAGTAAGTGTTGGACAGTTTGAGTTGTCGTCATTGTAGAATGTAAAGCCATGTCATTAAGTAAGCCTTCGATGTTACAGTCCAGGGGTCTCATTTATAAAGGATTGCGTGGAAACCATACTAAAAGTGAACGTATGGCCAAAAGTTGGAAATGGCGTACGCCAAAAAAAATTCAGATTCATAAAACCGTGCGTACATATGTTTCTGCGCATCTTTCCTTTATAAATCACAGTCAGAGTTTGCGCACGAGGTCCCGCCTTCAGGTTCTACCCTCTACACGCCCACACTCATCCATAAACAGTCAATGTAAAGTACCTCATGAATGTTAAGATGKATTTAAATCAGTCAGCTGATCAGTGATTGGTTCAGACACGCTCCGTCGTGTGTCTGGAGGATGACAGGTTCTGACTGACAGCTTCTCACCTGAACAGAATGTCTGTAATTGACACAGAATTTCCCTCATTTTGCTCAGCTTCAAATTAATTTTCCCTCAGAGCCTGCAGGACGATAAAAACCATAAAAATAAAATTAAATAAGTCAGATAAAATTAGAAATAAGTTCACCACTCTTCTCCTCGTCCTCTCCCCCTCCTGCCTGCTTTGTTATCCGCAGCAGACACCCCCGCCCCGCCCCACGCACGCATGCACACGCACGCACCCTCCCAGCGCACGCGTGTGACAAATACGGACTTTAAACGTGAAGGTTTATAATATCCACACTGGTGAGGTGAATGCGCCCTGCGCGTGTATCCAAAGCGTGACTTTTGCTGTTCTTGTCGGGCAGGGATCTGTGGGTCAGGGAGGGGTCTGTGGGTCAGGGAGGGGTCTGTGGGTCAGGGAGGGGTCTGTGGGTCAGGGTCATCTGAGGAGGAAGCAGATGAATGGAGTTGCGCACGGGAACTTTTATTTAAGATTTAAGTTTTTTTTTTTAATTTCAAAGGTCCTCATGGCTCAGCAGCAGCAGAAGCATAAATATTACTGTTAAGAAAGCTGATGATAAAGTTGAAGAAAAATCTAAGTCTGATGAAGGTAAATTAAATATCTGACAGTGATCATTACACAGTGTAGCTATAATTCCTCACTTCACCATCTGTGTCGCAGTTTCACTTCTCCAAAATGAGCGTACACATTGGTCAGAGCTGGCGTGAGGCACCGCACATTTTCATGTCAATTTGGATTTTATAAATTACAACCTTGGTGTAAAAAGTGACGTACGCAAGTTTCTGGGCTCAAATTGTGCGTACGCCAGTTTTATAAATCTGACCCCTGGGCTCAAATTGTGCGTACGCCAGTTTTATAAATCCGACCCCAGACACTTATAAGTGTGTTATTTTACTGAAAATAAACTTGGACTGTATGGTGGATTAGTGATTAGCATTGTTGCCTCACAGCAAGAACGTTCCAGGTTGGGCGTGGGGTCTTCATGTTCTCATGTTTGCATGAGCTTTTGGGTTTTCTCCCACAGTCTGAAAACATACCTGAAAAATAGATCTGTGATCTGTCATTTTTTTAAAAAGAGGTTAAAAAAACTTTTCTGGATCAGAGTAAACAGTTCTGGTGATGAAACATGAATGTTGAAAGTATACTTTAACTCTGGCAACAAACTTGTTTTTTTATGTATTAAATTTTCCCAGCTACAGTATTTTTTAATTGTCTGCATTTTAAGGCTGTAATTCATACTTTGCAAGTAACTTGACACTTCATGCATGTATGCAGTTCTGAAAAGAAAAAGACGTATTTTGGGTTTTTTTAAGACTGGAGCCAAATGGCTCAAAGGACACAACGACGAGGGACCATCTGGACACCTGATGAATCGAGACGATGAGAGGACGGTGGATTATTTTTTCGTTTGCTGTTTATTTTTTTCTGTGTGATTAAGTTTGGACCTTGGTTAGTGTAGGGAGTTGTGATTTTCCTTTTTGAATTTTGTTGAATCACTTTGTACTTAATTTTTTTTAGATCTCTTTCAACAACACTGGCCTGTTTTAATGAACCTGTCCCGTATTTTTAATTTGTTGTCTTATTTTACAAAATGGACCTTTTGAAAATGGAAAAAGCTAATTTGTTTCTGGCTTGCACATCTACCTATCTGGTCTTCAGTCATAAAAACATTTGGTTGTGGTTGTTTCCTTGATCCACACCTTACTTCGCTCCTGATGACCCTCATCTGGATTCAGCAAACTCTGAAGACCTGGAGGGCTGAAGATCCAGAATCTGGAACTTCCTGAACCCAAGGAGACGTTTTGAGCCTGCCTGTAGCATCTTTATGATTGTATTTGTTTTAATACATGATAAAAACTTATCCATTAATTCAATTTGTCATATTTTTACAAAATGCTGATAAATGTATTAGGTTTTAATATTTTAAGCCAAGCATAGGTTTAAGCACTTTTCTGTTTATAAAGTTAGACTGTCAACAATGTCATTATTTTAAAAATTGTATTTTCAGATGTGACAAAAGTGAGGGCTTTAAAAACATTTGTTTGTTCTGATTAGGATTGGCTCGCCCACCAAAATACTGCCTTACATCTCCAGAGCTGCAAGCAGCTGAGGACGGAGTGAGTTTTTCCCCCGTTTCTTTAACTTTGCTTTCAAAATGTTTGAGTTTTGTAAAAATACTCAACAAATTTCTTTACAGTAAACCTCTAGAGGGTAGGTAGAAGCTTCACACTAGACATTGCCATAACAAAACCATAAAGTCTTGGCAAAATAGGTAAAAAAATAAATATTAGACAGCTCTTTAATATGTTCAAACAAGCCTATATGGTGAACTGAAACGTCAAGAATTAAGTTGTATTGTTGTCATCTGTTATTTTGTCAAAATGTGACCTCTGATTTTAATGTATGTGTTTTTTTTAACAGATTCCCTAACTGGGATGGTGAGACACTAGTGTTGCTCAGGTAAATATTTGTCTTCAATTAAGTTGCATTTATAGGGTTAGGTCCAATAGGTTCCCCTTCATGTTTTTGGCTCATCTATATTTACATTAATGTGTTTTTGATTGAGAGAAATGTCTATACTTGGCACAAAAAGTAAGGATATTTGTGTTAGGTAGGTAATTCTTCGTTGTAACAATTTTTCTTGTCAATAAATGTTATGATTGGCGCCACCTGGGGAAACCAGAAGCTCAAAACAAGTCAATAGAAACAGCGAAATAAGCTGGTCGGTAGGGAAGATTTTGCAAATTTTTCATGTGTGCAACTCACATACTCAGCTCTACTGCTCATCCCACAAATGCATGTTCCTTATAAATGTGGCACCATTTAAAAGTGAAATCAACAGACTTTCCAACAATATACAATTTATTGGAAAGAAACATTGTTGCAACAAAGAATTATCAATCAAACACAAGTTTCAAGTTTGGATTTTAGTTCAAAAAGCCTAACCAGTTTCTACATTTTCAGACAGTCTTTGTACAAAACAACAATGGGATTGTTTCTTGTGCGGCCCGTTGAATATAAATTTAACAAAACCAACTTACTTAGACTTTGTTTCTCCTGTGCCGTTTGGCACAATGGGTGGCAAGACGTCTCCAATGGGATAGATCTCTTGCAATCACTTCGGCCTCATCTAGGCTGATATCTAGGGCCTTCAGGTCTTTTGTGGAAGGTATGGTGCCAATTCCGTCGGGGACGACCTTGTTTCCGTTTCCCCCATGGTGGTATCCCAAAACAAACATAACTTTATTTTGAAACTTAACTCTGCTTTTTTTGGTGTCTGTCTGTTTTTTTTAGTGCTACAAGTAAAGATGCCAAATCCTCGTCTTCGTCGTCGTCTCAGACTCGTCACCAGAAATCCAGACATGACAGCCCTCGCAGCTCCCACAGTCCTCGCCGCCAGCGTGGAACCGAGGATCGGAGGGAAAGGTGGCTTAGCCGTTCTCGCTCACGCAGTCCCCGCTACGACCGTGACTCGAATGACAGAAGACAGAGACGCAGTAGCCGTTCTCGCAGTCCCTATCGCCCCTACAGCTCTGAAAGAAGAGACAGATCATGGTCGCCTCTCGGAACTTGGCAGTCTCGCAGGTTTGTAAAAACCGGATTACCTCACTGGAACCAGTAATGTTTCTTATACTGATAAAACCGTTGAACACCGAAAGAATATTATGGTTGGATCTCTTCTAGGTCTCGGTCCCACTCCCCACCGTATGATCGACCTACCCACTCCCGTCACCGTTCACGTTCAAGGAGTTACGAGAGACGATCCTCGCCCAGGAGGAGCCACGAGCACAGATCGTCTCCGTGGAGAAGCGGCGACAAACGCTCGTCGCCCAGGAGAAGTCACGAGAGGCGATCTGCTGATAGGCCCCAACGAAGGAGGTCGAGTAGCTCAGAGAGACTGGCCAAGAAACTTCTGGAAACACCAGGTTTGACAAATTGTAGACATGTCATTTAAGTACAATGTTCTTCACCGATGTATAATTTAAAGGCACAGTGTGTAGGATTTCGTCAATTCTTTTAGCCGAAATTGAGAATCACTAATGACAATAATAAAAAACATGTCTAATCATTGCAGAAAAAGACCTTGTTTTATTATTTTTACCTTATAAAAAGCTGTTTATATCTCCATGGTCACGGGTCGCCACTACAGGCAGCCACCATCTTGCACCGCCATCTTGTCTACGAAGGCTCATGAAGGACAAACTGCGGTGGCGGCGTCAAAAACGGTTTTAGTTGTAATACTATAAATGTAATATTTGTTGTCTGTCATTGTAGCTGGGATAATTTTACTTATTAAAGCTCATAATCTTACCACTTGAAACATCACTAGCCCTGAAGCTGCTGGTAGACATCGCGGTTGGAATTATCAAAGGTTTTTGACACCTGAGAGACACCGTAGCAACTCCTTTGTGTTTGGAAGCGGGGGGTGGGGGTGGGGGGAGGACCAGGGAGAATGATTCAACCACTCAACCACTAGATGTCGCTGTAAACAACAAATCCTACACACTGTGCCTTTAAAGGGCTGCTTAAATTAAAAACTAAAATGTTTGGTGGTAATCTTACCGAGCAGCTTTAAGAGAGGAGTTTTTTTTTTTCACTTTTAACCACAAAACATTTATATTTGTTTTTTAGCTGTCCAGTCTTTGTCAAAAACGTCAGACCTGGCGACTATGGTTAAGACTCTCGCTCCCGCTTTACTGGCTGAGCTGAACAAGTTGAAATCCTCTTCCTCCTCCAAGTCCTCATCGTCCTCTAATGTGGCCAGGAAGCCGTCGTCGAAGTCCAGCCTTCATCGGAACGAGAGAAGTTCTTCTGCAAAAGAGATGGTTGGTTTATCTCATCAAATGTGGCAGCTCAGATTTGATTTTCTCCAAAAAATAGGTTACAAAAATTTAATCTGATCTTACTTTTGTCCCACTCTGTAGGTTTCTGATACCTTGTCTCCGAATAGTGTGAGGCTCTTTGATGTTTATAGTAAGATTTCTCACAGTGACCTCAATGTGGCTGTGGAACAATTTGGAAAAACCAAATCAGTGGTTTTGTACAGGATGACTAAACAGGTAGTGATATAAAAATATCTAACCTAACTCCTCACCCAAACCTTTCTTTAAATCTCAAATGGTGTTTTTTTTAATAATTAAAACACAGCTGAGAACTATTAACCTTTTACCTTTTTTGTGTGTGTTTTAATTGTTGTTTTGTGCACATATAGGCTGTCGTGACTTTTCACACAAAGGAAGACGCTGACAAACTGAAGAATGCAAAGACCTTCAAAGTGAATGGATTCCACGTCTCTGTTTTCGATGAATCGGTATTACTCTTGGTCTTTTTGTGTCATTTCTTGGAAAAGAATCATATGGGTGGGATCCTGCCACCGATATGATTACACTGTCAATAAATATGTTAATTAAATTAAATATGGAAATTAATAATAATTTAATTAAATGTTAATTTAAAATTCATTTATGTTTATACATCATTGATGCAAAGGCTCCAACGGGGAATAAACAGAAGACCGCTTCACAACAGTAAGTTTCATTTTCAACATTAAATAAAAAAGTATGTTAAGTTCATTAATTTTTTACCAAAATAACATTATTCTGCGTGGTTGTTGAAATGAAATCCTTATATTTAGTTCATTCAAAGCTGAGTTATCGTAGTTATCGTAGCCTGTATAACGTAGTTATCGTTATACAGGGTGAGTCAAAAGTCTCAGGACACAATTTTATTTCAGAAACGAAAAATAAAATGAAATATTTGAATATCCCTGCAAGTACTGGTTGAGAAGCTCTATCTTAGACTATGGCCAAAGCATGGCCGCCATCAAAGTAATTTTTTTCCAATTGGAAGGTGGTCTTGTAAAATCTTAGTTAATCAAAGGTGTGTTCAGCACACTGAAGACAGTATGGCTGTGAATCACAGGCAATGTTCCCAGTTGTTCCAAATTTCTGTGTTGAAAACTTCTGAATCATGGTAGATGATGCACATCTGATTACGGCAACTCATTTCAGAGAATTCTGGTCTTTAATATGCTACATGATCACCTTCTCCTAGGAAAAATTGACTTTTATCCATTATGGCGGCTTTCAAGATGGCGGCCATGTTCTGGACATGTCCTAAAAGAAGGGCCCCCCTTTCTCATTACTTGCTGGAGTATTCAGGGGCCTCATTTATAAAGGATTGCATAGAAACCATACTAAAAGTTAATGTACGGCCAAAAGTTGAAAGTGGCGTACGCCAAAAACAAACAAAAAAAATTTATTAAACGGTGCACACGCACACCTTCAAACACTTTTTCTTCATAGATCATAGCTACATATCAGAGTTTGCGCACAAGATCCCGCCTCGTGTTCTGCCCTCTACATGCCCACACTCAACCATAAACAGTCAGTGCAAAGTACCTCGTGATTGTTAAGGTGTATTTAAATCTGACAGCTGATGAATGTAAAAAAAAGGCGATTGGCTCAGACATGCGCTCCATCGTGCTTCTGGAGGATGACGGGTGCTGACAACGGCTCACATGAACTAACTGTCTGTAATTGACACAGATTGACACTCATTTTGCAAGAATACAGACGTTTAGATCAATCTCACGATTAAAAAAAACTCAGCTTCAAATTTATTTTCTCTCAGAGTCATAGGATGCTAAAAAAAACAAAATTAAGTCAGATAAATTTAAAAATAAGTTCACCAATCTAATCCCCCATCCTCCTGCCTGCACTATCTGTGGCTGATCGTGCAAAAGTGTGTCCTGAGTCTTTTGACTAGACCTTTAGAAAAGGCAATCAAATTTTTTGAAATGTTTTAAATTTTGCTGTTTTGACCCACCCTGTGTTTTCATTATTTATGCTAATTTAAAGGAAAGCTCTGTCACATGGTAATAAATCTTGGAACGTATATTGTTTCTTAAAATTCTTAACATTCAATCAACTGAATATATTTTTTTTAATTTAAATTATTTTGCAGAAAATCTGCAAAGTCTGACTCCACATCCACTGCAAAAGTTAAAGCACCTGCAACATCATCTGGAGCTAAAAGTACCTCAACGGGCAAAGTTGTTGCCAAAGCAAAAGTTTTGGTTTCCAAAGCAAAAGGTGTCTCCAACAAGCAGGTGGCTAAAACTGTAAAAACGGGCACTGTGACAGTAAAAAAAGCAACCGAGTCAGTCACAGTGTCCAAAGATACGCAAAAGGAACCTGATGCTGATGCTGCTAATCCAAGAGCAGTGCCCACAAACTCTGAAAGTGAAACTAATGAATCTGAAGTGGCTCCTAACGATACAGCCAAAACTGAAAATCCAGCGAACACGGCTGTCGCTCAGTCGGCCGAAGAGGATAAAATTGTGAAAGAGGAAAAGGACTTGGCTTCCACTGAAGAAAAATCATTAAAACCTGAGGAGGTGGTTGGACTAGAAGCTGTGAAAGAAGAAGTATTTGGTGCAGAAGGCCAAAATGTGCCATCCACATCTGTAACTACAGAAAGTCAGCTTGATGCTGCTGAAGATGAGGGATCTGCTCTGGAGCCCAAAGACTCCACCAATGTTGAGACAGAAGGAGAAGCAACCTCTGGACAACCAGACAAATCGGTTGGAGATCTTGAGCCAGTTTCCGATGGTGAATTTGAACAAATGGAGGTTGAGCCAGAAGCGACGGAGCCCATGGAAGTTGAGAGTTCTGCAGAATCCAAGGAACAAAAGCTGACCGATATAAAATCTGAACCAACTGATGGTCATCCAGAAGCCAGTGCAGTTAAGACGTCTCCACTCAAACTTTCTGATTCACCTCAAACACCACAAACCACCTTTAAAACCAATGAAACCTCTGTGAAAGCCTCATCGCCAGAGCAGGCAAGTCCTGAGGCAGATTCAGAGCCCCCAGCAGGTGACCTGAAGACCAAGACTGAAACTTTGGAAAATAAACAAGAAACTGCAAAGCAGATAGAGAAGAAGCAAGAAGGTATGTTAGGTGGATGCTTGGGTTTTCCAAAGTTTACTCAGTATGTTCTGAGAATAAATCCCAGTCAGAAAATTGATCTTTAAAACAATCATGATTGGGCACATATTTCCATTTTAACTGTACATTTCTGACAGTAATGTGTTGGTAATAATGGGTAGAGGCAAAATTCTTCAAGTAATGCCAACACTGAGCCTAGCTTTTATTTTCAACTCTTCAGGTGTGGTCAGTAGTTATTCTTTTGTTACTTTTGAGTTACTACTAGGATCCAGATGGTCCTGTTGCAAGAGTTTAATGATGACCACAGCAGTAGTGTTTACTTATTCTGAAATGCAGTTAAACTGGAACATAGTATAAGTCTTTAGCTGACTACAGCAGATGGTTACTGAAGTGTAAACTTTATAAGCTGGACAAGTTCTATTCTTGAAGTTTAGATTTAATTCAAATGTGATATTTGGGAAAATTACCCCGTTTGTAGAATTAGTTTAAATAATTGTGTATGCATACCTTTTCTTCTCCAAAGATCCAGCGATTGAAATAAAACTTGAGCAGGAACCAGAACCTGTCGGCGACATTTCAGCTCCATCGCCTGAAGCATCCGTAGCTGCTGAAACAAATCCTAAAGATGAAGCAGCAACCAGTCAGGAGACCGCCACAGTCACGTTGGACACCGCTCATGTTCCCACCCAAACAGAAAACAGTAAGACGTTCAAGAAATCAGTTTCCTGCTCTATCGATGCAGCCGTTATTTGCTAGATTTTTTTTTAACGTTAAGCTTTGTTTTTATAGGTTGCATTCAGATGGAACCGGTCAAGTCATCATCAGTAAGTCTTTACAAACTACTTTATACTTGTATTGGGAACATCTGGCAATCAAGAGACTGGGGTACAAGTAATGTTAATAAAAAAACTGAAGAGATGCTTTGGTTTATTTGTATTTTTTATATTTTAAGTACTTTAGTATAATGTGAATCTAATTTAACTATTTGTTTTGACCAAGTATCTACAGCACAGAACAATGTCCAGTTTTTAATTCACAAATAATCTACATTTTTAAACTATAAGGCTAGTTTTAACCCACAAATCAGACAGATTGTAGTTTACTTAATGTTTAATGTTGCATTTTGTACATTTGTTGCAATTAGTTTGTTTTTATCTGCAGCCACCGCCTCCTGATGTTTTGGATGAAGGACCGTCTGCTCAGCAAGACAGAACCTCTTCAGTACCAACAACCTCAGCTGGATCTGCCTTTTCTGATTCTGCGAAAGCTGAATCTGACACTGACATGAAGGAGATCGAAAAGCTTGAAACCGAGGTTGTTGAGAATATGACCGTTCCTCCTACAGGAAGTGAAAACGCAAAGGAAGAGGCACCACCATCTTCTGTTACGACTGCTGATACAGAATCTGTTCCCGCTGCGTCCACGGCCACCATTTCAGTCACAGAGCTGGTCAAGTTTGAGGAAAAAGCTTCAATGATTCCTCCCATGACCGAAGACGTCTTCAACGCAATCACGTCTGCGTTTCACAAGCACAAACTCAGTAAAGAAAGCGAGACAAAAAGCAAAGACAAGGAGGTGATGTTGCCTCTAAATCTTCAGAGTTAGTATTTTTTAATGTAAATTTGCTTTTAAAGTCTAACAGCTGTTTTCTTTGGATTTTTTTAGAGTGCTGACATAAGCACAACCCCTGCAGGTGTACAGGAGGAGAGCATGCGACAGGTATTCTTTCTCCTTTTTGTGTACCCATCCTTATTTCTGTTCTCCTTCAAACCTTTAAAAAATATATTACTGTGATTAATAAGCCAATCAAAGCCGTTACATCGTTTCCTCTCCTTCCAGGCACAGGATGATGTTAAAGAAGAGAAATTTTCTTCAGATCTTTTTGATGACTCAGAGATTAACTTTGAGGATTTTGTGACTGTTGACGAAATTAGTGAAGACGTGGGCGTCCAATCTTTGGCCGATGGCTCTTCTTTATCTGAACAAGCCTCTAAAGCAAACTCAAAGTCACCTGATGACAAAAATAAGACCTCTGTTAGATCCTCATCCAGGTCTACAAAAAGCAGCTCGTCTGCTAGTTCTACTAGGTCATCTGAGCTCTCCAAAACTAAACCCATAGAATCTGTTAAAACTCCTAGTTCCTCTGGTCATAAAACTCAACCAAGCAAGACAAAGTCTCCTGCCCGAGGATCACAGTCTTCATCCACAGGTCGAAGTACCCGTTCATCATCAGCAGCAACTCGACTGTCCCATGAAAAGCAGGATAAACCCACAGAGAGGGCAGTGAAAAAATCTGTCCACAAGATGTCAGCAGAGAGCAATGCTGCAAAAACTGTTGAGTCAGAGTTAAAAATAGAAGCAACAGAGATGGATGCTGCTGCACGAGGACAGAGGTTAGAGCCACCCACCCAAACTCAGAGTCCAGAGTCTGATTTTACGGATGAAATGGTCAAAGACGTGAAGAAAAGCAAAGAAAAGGAAAACAATGGCAAAAACCCAGAGGAAGGAGGAGATTGTGTTGAGAATGAAAGGATCCTTGATTCACTCGATGAGAAAACTGATGAACAGACAAACTTGGAAGAAAATAAGAACAGCTGCAACAAAACCAAGACATCTGTACCTGAGAAAGACGTTCCTGCTGATGATGAAATCTGTCCAGAGGACTGCAGTGAAATGGAGATGGATGCATCTATCAAAGAGCCAACTGATGATACAGATGAAGCATTGACGCAGGTCACAAATACAGCTGATAAAAATCAAATGTTGGCTCAAACCTCAAGCAGCATGGAAGATGGAGCTAAAGGAAAACATAAAGATGGCTGCCAAAAGTCTAATGATGACCAGCCCCTTGAAAACAACATGGACGAATCTTCAAAAGATTTGACCACACAAGAAGTCTTAAAGACATTGAATTCAGCTGATGATCAGACCATAACCAAAGGTGAACGCCAGGAGCTAGAAACTTCCAGTGACCAGCTGTTTAAAGCAGACATTGGATCCACAGAAGAGGAAGAATACCATATAATAGATTCTGTGGAGGATCAGCCAACACCAACAGAACCAGAAACTGACAACAAGCAACAAACAAGGAAAGGCACAACAACTTTAACAGAAGATAGACCAACAAGGAGTACTCGCTCAACGGGCAGATCATCTAAAATTGAAGACGAAGGAAAATCATCAAAGAAACAGGACAAAACTGTTAAAAAATATGTGACCCGAACAAGAGACAGCAGGACTATTAAAGACAAAACCATTGATCAAGGTACAGAGGACATGGACTTTGAGGTAGTGGACTCTATTGAAGATGAATCAGTTCAAGAAGCTTCAACTTCAGGAAGTTCTCATAGAAAACAGACTGGTGATGAGAAGAATTTGGAAGTTCTTGGACAATCTGACAAGGAAGAGGAAGCTATGTACAAAATCTTAGACTCAGTGGACGATGAGACTGCCAATGACAAACCGTCTACGAGATCCACCAGAGGAAGAAGTAGAAGAGCAGATGAGAAAGTTGCTGAAATTGACTCCAAAAAAGACAAGTCTCGCACAAGAAGAAGGCATACGCCAGTCAGAGAAACCCCTGAAAACGTTGGTGTTCCACTAAAGGAAACCACACCAACAAAGAAAAAGGATGTCGTCGTAAAAGACACAAGCGAAGAGGAGACAACTTATGAAATTTTAGACGCTGTAGAGGAAGATGTTGATAAGCCAATGCCACAAAAATCGAGGAGAGGGAGACCAAAGAAAAGAACAAGTACAAAAGAAACGGAAGCTTTAAAAAAGGTTCATGCGACCAGTAAAGTAGCTGAAGAAGAGGCAACATACCAGATTCTTGACTCTTTAGAGGATGATCAATGTACCACTGACCAGACTGAGAACACAGGAAAATCAACAATTTCTGGTGAAAAGACAACTACGAAATCAAGGTCCCCCAAAACTGAGGAGGAAGAAGAGGCTATGTATCGGATATTAGATTCTGTGGAGGATGATCCAATGGCTGCAAGTATTGGCACAATGTTGCCCATTTCCTCAGCTAAAGAAACGGAACAAGCTGTGAATGACTTGGCTGACAATGCCACAGAAGTTGAGCACAATCTATCTTCTGATGCAAGGAGGAAGACTATCACGCCTTCATCAAAGACACACAAGTCTGTTCTTGTCCACCTGGATGAAGTGAGCGATGAGGAGGAAGATTACCCTGATGATACAGCTGAGAAAAGAGAGCTAAAAAGAAGGCGAGGAACTACTACGGAACAAGAGAAGGAGAGGAGGACCAGGGGAAGGGAAACTAGGGGGCGAAGCGGGAATAGAGGACTAGAGGAGGCGAAAGGCAATCCTCCGTCCCAAGGATCTGATAAAAGAAGTAGTTCTACAGCGAAAACAGATGACAAACCTGCAACATCGAAGTCGCAAAAATCAAAGAAAGATGAAACTTCAAAAAACATACTTGTGAACCTGGACGAAGTGAGCGAGGAGGAGGAAAACTACCCCGAGGATCCAGCTCAAACAAAAAAAACGAGAAGACAAAAAACTGCTAAAGAGCCTGAAAATGAGCCAGAGGAGCGGGACCGTAGGGAGCGAAGGAGTCGAAGCAACAGCAGCAGAAGAAGTGAAGGCAGTGGGAGAACTTCGAGCAAGACAAAGGAGACGTTTCAGGACAAAGAGGAGAAGGTGGACGCAGAGCCTCAGGAGCTGGTGACCCTGGATGAGGTGGGAGACGACGAGCCTGGAGAGGAAGCGGTGACGGATGCTGTAAAATCGGACATGGAGCCCACGGAAGAAGAGCTGCAAGATCTTCTCACTCTGGATGAGATTGTTGAAGAGGAGAACGAAAAGGAACAGCAAACGATTGATGCTCTTCCACTCAACCAGGAGAACCAATCAATGGACTCCTCAAAACCAGAGGTCTGGTTGAGAAGTTTTGTTTAAAGTCAGTTGAATTTTTCACATTGAGACTTAATAATTGTTTTATATGTCCTTTACTTTTTTAGACTTCATCAACTTTAGATGAAGCAGACAAAGAGACAAAAAACACCTCAAGCTCCGGCAAACGCAAACATGACAACACAGGTTTGTGTTATTCAAGTACATCGTAAAAATGGTTGGTTGTCCAAATTTACATCTTTTTTAAACCCTTTAAACCCTTATAAAATAGTTTACCTCATACTATCAAGTTCTTTAGTCCAGTCGAGAGCACAATCAGCTGGAATTACCCTTTAAGTCAGGAATTACCCTTTAACTCAGTGTTAAGCTACCTCACACGTTGAACTGATAAAGGCCCTATGCTATGCAATTTATATACCTCTACACTGTCCCAGTTTTAAAAGCACAATATTAAGCCCATTTGCTCTTTTCATGGGCTCTAGTCTCAAACTTTTGAAGATTGCTTTAAAATATGGCTTAACCAAAGCATGTCCACAGAAATATTTGTAGTGATTTTCTCTGCTTTAGTTCCCTGATCAGGTTTAACTTTATCCCAGCGTAGTAAAAGTATGTGCTGACTGAGATTCCACACCAACGTTTTGATTTGTCATTTCAGAGAAGAGTGAGGACTTTGTTACCGTCGATGAGGTGGTGGTGACCGAAGAGGCAACAACAACACGAAGCCGACCCAATAAGAGAAGCAGACAGACTCCTGGTAACAAAAATACAAATCTGCTTTTTAGGTACATCACCGGAATAAAGCGCAAAACTTATTTTGTTTTTCTTTTACAGTGAGAAAATCTACAAGAGGTAAAATAGGGAGTAAAGAACCTGTGGAGGAGGAGGGAGAAGAAGAAACTAAAGAAGTGCCTCCTGCTTCAGCTGATTCCTCCTCGACTCTGGACAAAGATGCATCTGCTCCATCAGCCGACGTCCAGATGGATATTCAGAACATAGAGGCGGAAACAGCGAGTAAATCTGACATCTGTAGGGTTTCTCCTGAACTGGAGCTGCAGTCTGAGTCTCCTGATGAAAAGAAACCTAAAGAATGTGAGGAGGAGGAGGAAAACAGAAATGCTGAGGTTAAAGGTAAAAACCTTTGTTTGGACAGCATTGTGTTGAGAGTTAAAAAAAAATGCTGTCTAACAGTCTTAAAAGGGGAAAAAAAAGAATTCACAAACATAATTAGTTTCTTTTATGTCTTAGCTGTGAAACGGAAGCAGGAGCTGTTTGCTTCTGAAGCAAAGAGATCTCGTTCTCAGTCTCCTTCTGTTCCTGCGGACTTTAAACTTCCTCCATTTGACCCCCAAAAACCTCTGGGTAAGAAACACACACAAAACTAAACAAAAAACTAAATTACAACCTAAGATTTATATATAAAATATATAATGTTTGTTTTTTTGGCCTTTCCTCTTCAGGTCAGGAGTTTGTGGTTCCTAAATCTGGATTTTTCTGTAATTTGTGCTCAATTTTCTACTTGAACAAGAACGTCGCTAAAGGGTTGCACTGCAGCAGCCAAAAGCACTACGACAACCTGCAGGTATACACACACACACACAGACACACTCACACACACACTCACACACTCACACACACACACACTGGTTTCACCTTTTTCCCTTTGCTTTTTTCAGAAACATTACCAGAAGCTCCAGAAGAAAAATTCCAGTTCCCATGGCACTGTCTCTGATTAATTTCAACTACATATTTTAATTAATTTTTTTTATAAGTAGTTAACATATTTCTTTAAAAGATTTGTATAGAGAACTGTGTTTAATACCTGTATTTGCAGTGGTGGGCAGCACTAATCTAAAAATTAGTTCCACTAGCCCTAAAGCACTAAATCAAATATTTAGGTCCCCTAATTCTGATGCACTAAAATAACCCAGTCAACTCATGAACATTCTTTAACAGACGACGTGAGTCACATGTTGCTCTCTTAATTCTTATTGACATTCCACAGCTGTATTTAGGTTCATATATTGTCACCTGGTGGATCAGTGACACACATATGAACAAAACGTGTGACAGTTTTCACCCTCAGCTGTTAACATTAACTTTGCCTATTAGTGCTTTAGTGCTTTAGGGGAACTGTGCCCACCACTGTGTATTTGTATTTTACTGTCATCAGATTTCAGTGCGTTCGTCAGCTTCACTCTGTTTATTTTAACCGTCTCTGAACTTGTATGGTGACGTTGCATCAGTTGAGTCATGGAAATGTTTTTTGTTTGGCGCATCAGTAAAATCATGCAGCTATAGTTATTTTGCTCCAGGCTGAAGTGGAACACAGAGCTTAACAACCAGTGGAAACAGACATAATGATTAAATCTTAGATGTATCAGCATGGACTGATTGATTTTATTCAAGGAAACAAAATGCCCGACTTAAAAATCTAATTTTGTTATTAATGCAGAATCACAAAACGTACAAATAAACAAGCTGTTCATTAACTTTTGTACAGAAGATGATAGATGTTCTACACATGGTTCTAACTTGTTAAATTTGTTTTTCCAAATTCTGTTTCTTCAAAATGTCAAATAAAAATGGTGTTGCTTGTTTCCTGATTCATGTGAAAAGATTTTTATTCTGCCCATTACTGAAACTGTTTAAATTATTTAAAAGCTTATTTGAGTGTATAAACTATTTTTATTCTCTTTTTGTTTGATGTTGAGACCTGGTGCTACCATAATTTAATCAACATTCAGTGATGATAAAAAAAATTTAAATAAGCCAAAGATTACATAAAAATGTACAAAAATACTCAAATGCTTCACTTAGTTGAAGCAACTTTAGGATGTATCGCTGCCTCAGCTCTTTTTGGATTAGAGCACCAGGATTGAGGGATTTTCTGTCATTTGCAAATCTTGTTTTTAGTCCAGTCCAGTTGGATGGGGGTCATTGGTGGAGTTGTTTTAACGTCTCCACATTGATTGGAACTGAAGTCAAGGCTTTGGTTGGGCCATTCCAGGTCCACTCCTGTGTTTGCCTCATCGCGTTGGAAAGTGAACTTTTGGACCAGTCGTGGGTTTTGGCCTCTGTGGAGCAGGAGGTGCCATCAATCATAAATGTGCTTCTCTTCGTGATAATGGTTCTGTGGAACCAAAAGAACAACCTCCCCCCAGTGGCCAATTGTGGAAACACATCATTCCCTACAGAGACATCCTCAGGTTTGTGTTCAGCCTTTTGTTGTTTTTAAAAGTATTAATTGCTTGTTGGGAGGTATTAATACACAGGTGTGAATTTGGTCTGCACCATTTGTTTTGCTTCAATGATGTGTGACAGAGTAAGTACTTGTACTTAATCTGAACTTAAAGTGATTTCTATGTGTAATATGAAAAAATCTACAGTCCAAAGTTCACCATTCAAGGCACAATTCTTTTACAAGGCACAATTCTTTTTGCACCTAAAATATCCTCATAGTTTTTCTGCATTTTCTTGTTTAAATGGTTTTAAACTCTGACTTTTAATTTAAACATAATATATCAACCCAAGTTTTGTGTCTATACTCAAGTCTGCCAAAGCAGGGGTTCTCGAACGTTTTGGGTCTGGGGACCCCTTACAAGGGCGAAAAAATTGTTTTAAAATTAACTGTCATTTCAACCCTTAAATGCCATGGGGATATATTTATATATTTAGTTTATTATGTTTGTTTCATTAGTTCATTGTTCCCCACACATTTTTAAAAATAAAAACCAAATTAAGAATTTGGTGAAATTTTTTGAGGACCACCAAGACACTTCTTGCGGACCCCAGTTTGAGAACCTCTGTGCTAAAGGACCTATCATATTGTGATGTTTTAAACAACTTATGAAAAGTTTGAAGACATTACGTTAAAAAATAATTGGAAGCCTCTTAGGTGTGTACTGCACATACTGTAATGCTAATAAATTGATCAAATGCCTAACTTTTATTAATAATTTAGTTGAAATTTTATTTTCATAAACTAGCATTAATTTTCTAAAACATAGTGTGACATGGCCTTAAGCAAACAACTCATTTTAAATTGTTGCAAGAAATGTTACTGTGATTTTAACTGCATCTATAAGTGCATCTGTCATTTCCATATTCCAGGTAAAATAACCAACCAAGGTTGATGAAAACAGCACTGTGTGGTGTCCGACTGAAGGAATCGAGACTCGTCTGCTTCCCAGCAACTCAGTAATACATCTGAACATACAAAAATCAGCTGCTGTTCAGAAGAACTCTGCATGCAAAACCTGAGATCCTCCCATGAATGTCCTCTGCAGGTGTAGTGGTTACAACTGGATAATTAATGTACAAAACATTAATAACTGGAGAGCTGTAACAGACGTTGAGCTGAGGAACAGCTCTGACATCGGCAGATCCAACACATCACCACAGACCACCATCCTCCCAGCTCTGAGGTAATTCTGTTAGTGTGAAAAAGAAACAAGACATTTTTCACAGCGGTCATTTGAAGTGTTTGCAGTCGTAGATGTCTTAATAATGACTCAGTATGATTAAAAAAATTGAAATAAAAACATTAGAGCAAACAACGGTAGAAATCAACCTAAACCAAACGTGACGCAAACTGTCTGTACACAGCATTCAGAAAAGACTCAGAACTATTTTTTGTTTTAACCGTTTTCCCAGGGTTCCTTCAAAGTGTTCAAGAAATTTTACCCTGTTGGCCTTTGACCCAGATGGAGACGAGGTTAAATGCAGATATGCAGATGGTTCCTTATCTGAATGTCAAGACTGAAAACTTTCATCTGTCCTATGCCTCCCATCAGTGAGTAAAAAATGTTAATCTTGTTGCCTTATGCTTATACAGGTTTGAGTCACAGGAAAGCAGCCTTAGCCGAGCCCAGACCGTCCTCTTCCCAACCACTTGTTTCTAAAACTAGAGTGCCAGTTGTGGTGGTTCATTTGGTAAGGATACAGTACCTCCTAGACGTCACTGTAGGGAAGTATTTCAGGCATTTCCAACCAGGAGGAGACCCTAGACACAATGAAGAGACTATGTTTCTCGTCTGGCCTGGGAATGCCTTGGAGTCCTCTCAGAAGACCTGGAAGAGGTGGTTGTAGAAAGAGAGAGGTCTGGGCCTCATGAATGTTAAGATGCATTTAAATCAGTCAGCTGATCAATGTCAAACGATGCGATTGGCTCAGATGCGCTGAGTCGTCTGGAGGATGACAGGTGCTGACAGCTGCTCATGTAAACAGATTGTCTGTAAATGACAGATTTTCCCTCATTTTGCAGGTTAGCAGATGTTTAGACGAGCTTCAAATTAATTTTCTCTCAGAGCCTGCAGGACAATAAAAACAATAAATGAAACTGGGTCAGAGCTGGCGTGAGAGACCGCACATTTTCATGTCGAGTTTAGATTTTGTAAATCACAACTTTTGCGTGAAAAGTGACGTACGCAAGTTTCTGGGCTTGTTTTGTGAGTACACAAGCTTTATAAATCCCACCCCTGGTTATTCCATCAATGGATTGTTTCTTCCCTGATGGCACGGCCATGTTCCAAGATGACAATGCCAGGATTTATCAGGCTCTTATTGTGAAAGAGTGGTTCAGGGAGCGTGAGACATCATTTTCACGCATGGATTGGCTCCACAGAGTCCATTGAGAATCTTTGGAAAGGAGATGGTCAGACTCTACCATCATCAGTGTAAGACCTTGGTGAAGAACTAATGCAACACTGGATGGAAATAAACCTTGTGACATTACAGAAGCTCATTGAAACAATGCTACAGAGAATGTGTGCCAACCAAATATTAGTGTGTGACCTTTTTTTGGTGGCAACATTTTTTTTGGCCAGGCAGTGTATTTAAAAAAAATTATTGACATTTACAAAGCTTTTTGAAAAATGTAAAATGTAAAATTATAAAACATTTTATTTCATTTACCAACAACATACGGTTAGTCTGTTTCCTCTGTTTATTTTCTGCTTTCATGCAAAATAAAGTCTTTCAGAAAATTTCCATCATCTTCTCTTTAGTTTAAATTAGATTAAACATTGTCTGGATGGATAGATAGGTAGATGTGTAACAATATACAAAAATCTCAGTTTGGTTCTTTTAATTAGGATTTTAAAAATACAATAAAATCTACACAGAAATACTCAAATTAAATGTAAATTCTAGCTAAACAATGAATTATAGGTTTTATTATTGTAAAACAAATAACAAGTCTGAGGTTAACTGAGGTAACTTACACACCCAGTAATATACAAAGTAATGTTTGCATGTTGTTTTGTTTGTAACTGGGTGTAGGGCTGTAACATTATATCCTCGAAATCCTCAAAGAAGTAAAACATAAGCTGACAGATCAACTTAAGTGAAACTAAAATTTACAATTTAAATTAAAAACAATTAATGCAACAGTTGCTACCATTTAAAACCAATAAAAATAATCAACATCAAAGACTCTCTGGTTCATCTGGGGGCCCGTTTCTGGTGGTGGGCTTTGCACCCCTGCCACTCTGCCCTCTGGTGGGTTGTGCCTTTACCCTCCAGTGCGCTGGTGGCTTTCGGTGTTTGGGGCTGAGCGCTCGGGCATGGGCTGGCTCGGTCTGGTGACTGCCTGGTGGGGCTTGGGTCCCCTGGCCCTATTGGGCCTTGGCCTGGGGGTGGTACACCCTGGGGACCCAGGCCTCTGTGCCCATACCTGGATCTGCTCTGGCGCAGTGGGTGCCAGCGGGAGCCTGTGAGTTTGTTGCTGCTGGCCCCGGGAGATAACTGTGTGGGGTCGCTGGGGGGTGGGGGGGTGCTCTTCTGGCTCTCTACTATGGTCCAATCTAGGGGGTGGGCGGGCAGTTCCCCTGCGCTGGTGCCCTTGGGGGCTCCGCACTTGGGGTCCCTCTCAGGGTCTTTGGCTCTGGTCTCCCTTATGTCTGCTTCGGGGATCTTGGGGGTCGGGTCTGTGGGTCTCCACAGTCACTATTAAATATTCCTTTGGAGAAATCTTGTATACACACGCATGCTCTCAACTGCACACAAAGAGGTGTTCAGATCCTGCGGTTTCTGACGGTCACTGAATGTGTATGTGTGTATGTGTGTATACTATATATATATATATAGCTTTCGTATGGTTTTTTAATCACTTCAGTGGAAAAAGAACTTAATATCACTTTCTTAATTTCCTCATCATCAGCGATTTTTTTAAGTAAAGAGAAAATAGAGAAAGAGGGAAAAACAAAGAGAGACGTAATTAGAAAGATTGAAATAGCGATTAGAAGTATATTAAATATACACCAACAAAACACAGGACCACACACCCAACATCTGTCCTCTCACCTGAAAAATGAATGGATAAATACATGGAGGGCATATATAAAAATATATACTGTAAAGATATACATACATGCATGCCTACATTCATACATTCATACAAATTGTAGGTATAGACACACAGACATATATACACACAGACATATATACACACTCAGTGACCTGTCAGAACCCCTCGGATCAGAACACCTGTCTGTGAGCAGTTGTGAACATGCGTGTATACACAAGATTTCTCCAATGGAATATTTAATAGTGACTGTGGAGGACCGGAGACCCAACCCCCAAGACACGAGGCAGACATAGGGAAGAACAGAGCCCAAGGAACCGAGAGGGATCCCGAGCGCAGAGCCCCAAGGGGCACCTGCACGGGAAGATCTGCCCACCCACCCCCCAGATCAGACCATAGGGGAGAACTGGGAGAGTCCCCCCAGCGACCACRYRYACAGCCCCCGGGGCCAGCAGCGACAAACTCATRGGCCCCACCGGCACCCGCCACATCAGAGCAGATCCAGGAAAGGGCACAGAGGTACGGGCCCCCAGGGCGCAGCCCCCCCCCGCCCCCAGGCCAAAGCCCAACAGGGCCAGAGGCCCCGAGCCCCAGCAGGCAGTCACCAGGCCAGGCTGGCGCACAGCCCTCCATGTATTCATCCATTTATTTTTAGGTGAGCGGACAGATGTTGGGTGTGTGGTCCTGTCTTTTCTTGGTGCATATTTAATATATTTCTTATCTCTATTTCAATCTTTCTAATTACTTTTCTCTTTGTTTTTCCCTCTTTTTCTATTTTCTCTTTACTTAAAAAATCACAGATGACGAAGAAATTAAGAAACTAATATTAAGTTCTTTTTTCTACTGAAGTGATTAAAAAAAAGCAGATACTAGTGACTGGGCTCAGCCTTAGAGCCAGGGTGAGGAGTAGAGCTGCTGGACTCTGATGAGGTGGTTCTTCTGATTCGGATACCTCCTTGGTGGTTCTCCTTGCAGGTTGTCCGGACACGTCTCACTGGGAAGAGGCCCTGGGGCAGACCCAGAACTCGCTGGAGGGATTATATATCCTCTCTGGCCTTACAATGATTTGGGCTCCCCAGGAGGACCAGTGGCCTCATGTATAAACGGTGCGTACGCACAAAAAAGCTAAGTGCGCCAGGTTCTACGCCCACGTTGGGATGTATTAAAACCAACATTGCGTGAAAGTGTGTGTAAATATATGCACACTTTTCTCCTGCTGTGAGAATGTGCGGCAGCAACGCAAAGTTTTTCAGTAGACAGTTTTAACTCACAAAGTCACGAATTTGACCTGAATCCACAGAAATATGACTCTGTTGTGTTTTCTGGATGTAAGGAGCGTCTGAACACGGTGTTAGATTTTTATTTTAGTTTCAGTTTTTATTGTTTAAACTCGAACGATGATGAAACTGAACCCCGGGACTGAAAATCATTTAGCCTTAGACAAGAAAATAGATCAGTCTAAAAATGATCAAAGAACCTCCAGTCTACTGTAAACTGTAAAGTGTTTATATTGTTGTCACGTAGTTGGAAACACGCAGAGCGCTGGCCTGCAGAGCGCACACACCGCTGAGGGAAATAAAATGTGTGTGAATTTTCTAAGAAACATTTTTAATTTTCACTGAGAAAAAAAAACGTTAACTCAGCAGATTAATTCAGAACAGCTCAGTTGTGATGATTCCTCAGCCCCACAAGACGCAACAGATTGCTGCGTAAAGTTGTGCGTATGGATCAATGTCAGCTGTTCCCAGTCCCACACCGCGGCACAAACTCGCAGCGCTGCGAGTCACTCATTTCTTCACATCAACTATTTAATAAATATTTTTCTAAGTTCTACAAAAGTCATCAGTTCCTCTGTGTTTACAGTCATTTATTAAAGACCTGTAAAGGTGGAAATGTCTGTCAGTCTCATGCGCCACTGAAAATAACAGCACACGCGCATACACACCAACTCACACACCTTTGCGTGATGTGGCAAACACATTTTTACACCCCACTACTTATTTAGATGGTTTTCTCACTCATTCTCCATTTAATGTATAATTTTCCTGCATCTAAAAATCATTTCTGATCCCACAGAGAGGACAGTCTGAGGAGAATCTCACACGCTGGACATTTTTACATCTATTTTACAGATTTAAATGGAGATGTGTCAGGGGAGGTGTCTCACGTGTGCTCAGTTCCACGTTCATTGGGATGTATAAAGGAAAGGTGCGCAGGAACCTCCGTGCGCACAGCTTTTTACATCTGAATATTTTGGTGCGACACACTTTTCTAAATTTGTCCGTACGTCAACTTTTAGTGTGAAAGCTGCGCACTCCTTTATGCATGAGGCCCCTGGAGAGGCAGGTCTGAGGTTCTCTCCTGGACCAGTTTCCTTCACAACCCGATCACGGTGTAAGGGTCAGCTTACACTTCTTATAACAAGGTTATAAGAGTAATTTAATTAGCAAGGATCTCTTTTATTTTTTGGACAAACATTTCTTTAGTGCAAGAATGAATGGACACAAAAAGTAACTCTCAGTCAGTGAATGTTTATTTGAACCATAATATGCGATTATTTATTTTACAAATCATACAAAATTGACTAGAGTACACCTGATTGTGAATAATTAATTTCCTATAAAAAGTTTTAGGACCAACAATAACAAGCTTTTAACTTCTTAATTGTTATCCACACTTAAATAGAAACACAAACGTCAGCTTAGATGTTAAACACCAGACATTTGAGGATGTTTATCTTAGGAGTTGGCAAGGAAGAGGTTAAGAAAAAGGTTGAAGAAAGCTGTTAGCTTTTCTACACTTTATCTTAAATAATGTGGGTTTAACCAGAAGGGCGAAGCGTTCTGTGCTCAGCTTTGGTCAGACCTCGACGTCACACACAGCCAGCTTTTACCTTGAGATGATGTTCTGTCACCTGCCAGGTAGATGGGGGCGCTGCTGGAGAATCTGTCTTTAGACCGTCGAACAGGGGACCCCAAGGCGTGCTCTTTGACTCGTTTACGTCCACGTCAGCCGTAACCAGAAGACAAGGCCTCGACTGGAACCCAGGTTGTAAATAAAACTTCCGTCTGGAGAGTTTCTGAAGGTGGATAAAACCAGGCGTGGTTTTTCACACTGTGAGGTTTCCCCGTTGGCGTGAAGGGGCCAAACCTGACACAGTTTTCAGCTTTTGATTCCCCGGAGAGAATCTAGTTGTTACGGTGACTGACGGCGGTCAGTCACCTTTACTCTGTCTTTTCTCAGTCCGTTCTGAGACGGGCAGAAACTGTTAGTTCCTAAAAGCTTAGAGAATCTGTGGTCCGCCCTTCAGAAGGTTAGATTAGAGAAAGAAATTATCAAGGAAAGTGTTAGTTTCAGAGCTCGCTGTGCCTCCTGAAACAAAACAAAGATTATTGCTGTTGCTGTGTGGTTCAGAACAACACATTTCATGACCCATTTAAATCATCTGATGAGTACTGTTTAAAACATAACTGAAAGAAAAATGAATTGCTTCAAGTTCAAAACATTTGCAAATATGATTCAGACAAGTAAAACACGGATATTTCATCAACTTAAACCATAAAGATTATTTTAGTTAAATAAGAATTTTTCCCACAGAAAAACCATACATAGCTGAAATCATACTGAGGGAGAAAAGAGATCTGTCCTCTCTTCTCCTGTAACTTTGATAAACATTCTCTGATTATCAAAATGTGTAATACTTTCAGTTAAGAGAACAATAAATCAAATAAGAGAAGATTCTTCTGTTTTTATCTGATTTAGAAGGAAAGTGGCCTTGGGTGGCCTAAATACAGTTCTAAGTGGAAAAGAGTTTTGTCCATTAGAAGGCCCATCAGAGGACTGAGAGTCCAAGATAGTTCCTTGATAATTTGACTCGAGGTGACCCCTACAACGGATAACAGAAAGAAGGTGGAGATGGATATTTCCCACCAATTAGGACAGGGACAACCTCAGAACTTTGTAGCATTAATATATAAAAATATGATGAAATATTCTATAGAAGACCCCTGTGGACTCTGCAGGATTTCAGTCACTGTTTGATGTTCCTCTAAGTTCTCCTTGTCTGAGCAGTGGAACTGCAGCCAGAAGACACACAAACAAATGGCCTTTTGTTTAAATGCAAATATCTTAAATGAACAAACTAGAGGGAAGTAGAAAAGAGGTTGTCTGAGAAAGCCTAAATGTTCAGAGACATGGACTCCATCCTGTTGCTCTTTATGTTGCTGCTGATCAGCAGAACTCAAGCTTATCATATTTATGGCACAGTGATGACATACTATCCAAAGAATACTTATTCAGATGGATCAGTCTCAGTAAGTGAAGCTTCTCTGTCATTCTCTTCTACTTTCAATTTTTCATTCAATTTAACCCCCTTTTCTTTAAATCTACAGGTGATTCTTCGTTACAAGTTGAACTACATCTCATGTGGTTTTGACGATTCTTGGGTTTGCAGCGGCAACTGTGGGACTGCGACTCAGAGCCTCCCGGTCACCACTGTTGATCAAAGCAGTGGTGATGGGTGTCAAAGAGAAGGAATCACAACTTATCTGCTTCCCAACAACTCTCCACTTCAACTTACGTGAGTTCACCTGTTTTTCTAACGAGTGACCAAAGCTCGTCGGATTCTAAGTAACATCTGACAATTCCTTCATGTCTTCTAAGCTAGGCTGTCTGGTAATTCCTGGACAACCAGCCTGAATGTTATTATATATCGGAGAGCGGTGGCTGCTGTTGAACTGAGGAAACGTTCTGACAGCAGCAAACCCAACACGTCACCACAGACCACCATCCTCCCAGTTATCAGGTAGTTTTAATGTTTACATCACGTTTTTTTGTATAGAAGCCACCATCTTAATGGTTCTGTGACAGTTAAGGACCTAAAATTGAAAAATATGCAGATTTTAAGTAGCAGTCTCACTGAGTTTTTACTTTTTGATCTTCACATAATGTTTGCAAATATTTAACATTAATTCCTGTAGCAAAGTTGTTGAATTGCAACAGTCGCTTCTGGTTGCACCCAGTTGTTGCGAATGAATGCAACAACAGACATCAATGCTCTTCAAAATGCAAAGCAGGGCTTTTTATCACGAGGCTTATTTAAAATAAAACTAATCAAGCCCAATAAACTCGCCTCATCTGTGAAAGCTCGCATGCAAGTGTCTTTTACTCAGTGATTTGTAAACAATCAGAGTTGACTTAAGTACAATCTGTCTTTGCTGCCGTTTCACTGAATTCTTTAGTGATCGTGTCGAGCTTTGACATGTTTGTAATCAAGTAGTAAATGTTGACTACGTCTTGTAGCACAAAGTAAATAAAATTAGCATGTTTCAAATGAAACTGCAGCATGAACATTTGTCAACTCAGAAAAAAAAACACAATTCTGGTGCTCCATAAATTATTTTAACTAAATAATGGGTTCCAGAGACTATTTTAGGAGGGTGTCTCTGTTAGATCTTAGAGCTACATTTGATACAACTGATCACAAAATTCTATTACTTGTTGCTTGAACATGATTGTGATTACAGGAACAGCTCTAAAATGGTTTACGTTACATTTATTTGATAGATTCCTGTTTGTTAATGTTAATAATGAATCATTTTCTTACACCAGAGTTAGTCATGGAGTTCCTCAGGGTTGAGCTCTTGGACCAATCCTCTTTACTTTATATATGCTAGGTAAAGTTATTAAACAGAATGGGATAAATGTTCATTGTTATGCTGATGATACTCAGTTATATTTATCCATGAAACCTGATTAATCTAATCAGTTATTAAACCACAATCATGTCTTAAAGACATAAAAACCGGGATGACTCAATCTGTTGGCTTCCTTAGATTGATTTTTTGAACAGTGCCCTCAAATGATGTTTGTTACTTTGAGCTATATAAATAAACTGAATTGAATGAAAAAAATTGTCTTGCAAGTTTTTAATATGTTCAAGATTCATGGGACATGAGAAGCTTTGTGATAATATGAGACATTTCCCTTACAAATGAGAAACAGAGGGTTTTTTCAAGGTAAAAGAACTTGTTTCCTTGTTTTTGAGCACATTTTACTTTCTCAGGTCAGACTGAAACATGGAGAGAAAAAATGCAGTGGGTTGCTTTGTTTATGTCGAGCTCGCATGCAAATCCCTCCTCCTGTGGTTGATGGAGCTTCATTCATCCTTGTCTACAAAAGAGGTGTTTTGGTCACGCAAATGATGATGCAAATGGTGTGAATCTTGCTGGGGATCAGATCATCAGTTTTTATGATCGTGATAATGAAACTGCTGTAATTTAAAACATTCAAGCTTTAGTTCAGTTAGAGACGTCTTGTTTATGCCTGAAGTTCTGAAACTGTTCAGAAGTAATCTAGAGTGGCTGTAGAAGACGAGATGTCTTATGAAGACAAACAGAAAATTAGGTCATTTATGAGGATGTACTTTCTAAATATCTTTTATGATTTTTAGAGGAGGAGTTATCAACAAAATAAAAAAAAATACTATAAATAGAATGAAAAACCAGGAAGAAAGCTCTGAAAGATAAGTCCGTTAAGCTTGTGTTTTATTTGAAAGTCAAACAGTGTTTTAAAAAGTGCACTTTTTCACAGGATACTTTTTGACTTTCAAAGGAGGTGTATTTAAACATTACTACAACAAGTGACCTTTGTGAAAACATGAAGTGCTGATAATGTTCCTAAGAATTTGGAAATATTAAACATTGTTTGACATGAAGCCATAATAATAACATATGCGCTGAATCAGAACCCCAAAACAAGACTAACGCAGCCATTAAAATGCAGCAATAAAGTAAAAACTGACCATTTAAAGCCTTGTGTAAATAAATTCATATTTTCTTGCTCTTTCAGACTTCCTTCAAACTGTCAGAGAAATATTAACTTGTTGACCTTTGACCCTGATGGAGACATAGTTAAATGCAGATATGGAAATGATATGTTGTTTGAGTGTGACCCCTGCACACCACCACCTGTCCTCAGTGTCTCATCAGTAAGTAACAGCTGCTAATCTCATGGCAGATGATAGGTACAGCATATTCGTATATGACACATGCCTGTGATATAAAATCATAACATTGTCTTACAGCTGCTAGTATTGATACTGTATGCCAGTCTGTGGACAATAAGATGTGTATCTTAAAACCCTGCAAATGATTTGATTCATTAAGATGAATAAACAGCAAAAAATAATACTTTATGATTTATAATCACAATATAATTTATTATTTAACCATGACACAATTCAGACTTCAATTATGATACGATTTATTCTTTAATCACAGAATTTTATTCATGATTTGATTTATCACTTTATGGCAATGCAATTCAGCCTGGAATCATGATATGACTAAGCCTTGAATTACAATAGGATACAGCCTTTAGTCAGTATATGATTCATCTTTAAATTGTGACACAATTCATCTTCAAATTGTGATATGATTCATTTTTAAATTGCGATATGATTCAGACTCAAACATGATTCATCTTCAAATTGTGATATGATTCATTTTCACATTGCGATATCATTCATCTTCAAATTGTGATATGATTCATCTTCAAATTGCGATATGATTCAGACTCAAATTGCAATATGATTCATCTTCAAATTGTGATATGATTCATCTTCAAATTGTGATATGATTCATCTTCAAATTGCGATATGATTCATCTTCAAATTGTGATATGATTCAGACTCAAATTGGGATATGATTCATCTTCAAATTGTGATATAATTCAGACTCAAATTGTGATATGATTCATCTTCAAATTGTGATATGATTCATCTTCAAATTGTGATATGATTCAGACTCAAATTGGGATATGATTCATCTTCAAATTGTGATATGATTCAGACTCAAATTGTGATATGATTCATCTTCAAATTGCGATATGATTCAGACTCAAATTGTGATATGATTCAGACTCAAATTGCGATATGATTCAGACTCAAATTGCGATATGATTCAGACTCAAACTGCGAAATGATTCATCTTCAAATTGTCTTACGATTCAGGGCTGAACCGTCATATTATTTGACTTTGAATTGCAATACCATTCAGCCTTGAATTCTGATATGACTAAGCCTTAAATCGTGATAAGATTCAGCCTTTATTCATCATACAATTTAAATTTGAATCGCAATACAACTTCTACCTCGAATCACGATATGATTCAACCTCAAATTGCGATACTATTCATTAAATTTTTTTCCCTGTCCTCTTGCAGTCCTGCACTTTGTCATTCAGCCCGAATTCAAGCAGTAGTGAAAATTCATACGCAGTCCAGTTGATGATGGAGGACTTTCCCCATCAGACCATCACTCTGACTCACACCAGTGGTTCACAGGAGGTGAAAACTACCAGCAGTGCTATCAGCAAGATACCCATCCAGTTTCTTTTGAAAGGTACAGACCTGGGTTCTGTGGTTCATGGCCACAAACATCTGCTCTTTGGAGACTAAAAACATCATCTGTGTACAAATGTCTCAGTATAGTTTGAGGTTTATCTGGTATAAGAAATCACATTTTTATAATATCTGTAAAATAGGAAGAGTAAGTTTTACCTGAAGTAGCAACCTGACATTTGCAGAAATGATTTTACTTTCTGAAATAACTGTCGCAGAATAATTTGAGTGTAACGGAGTCACTTTGTTGACAGACAGGTTTGTGTTTTATTCAAGTTTGTTGCTTTCTTGTTTTTCTCCAGTGCTTCCTTTAATACCGTCCTGCACCGAAGGTCTTTACCTGCCTAAATTTGTGCCTCCGACTCCAGACAACGGAGCTCAGATCAACATCACAGTTAATCAGATGGTGGAAATCCCCATCATCGCACAGGCAACTGCGTCACAGTAAGGAAACAAGTTTAAAGTTAACATAAATGTGATCATAGAGTCAAGGAAAACAGCTTGACTTTGATTTTTGGACAGCATTGTACTTCCTGTTTGTTAAAGGATCATTGAGCTTCTGTTCAGTGGACCGTACAATGTGATCAAGAGTACATCAGGATCAGGACGGTACACACTGACATGGACCTCCTCTGACAGTGAAAGTGGACAGAGTCACTTCATCTGCTTTGCCGTCCAGGCGAGGTCTGTATCTTCTCATATCAACATCACATTCTGAGTCTTGCTGCCTTCCATTCATCTTATGACTGTAAGATGAGACAAACTTTATTTTGTTGTGGTTGACTGAGCATCTACATGAGTTGTATGATAATAATAAAGCTGTTCTGAAATATTTCCACAGCTACTCCAGTTTTCTGTATCAGTCTGAGCTTCGATGTGTGATGGTTCAAATAAGTGAGTTGAATCTTTGTTTCATGTTTTTTAAACTCTCATCAGATTTTCCCAGCACTGATCCTGTTTCTGATAATCTGCTTTTCTCTTCACAGTCCCACCACCACCACGTAAGTTTGAAGAATATGAAGCTGATCTAGAACCTGCACAGTAACAGAACTGCCTGTAATTTGAATTACTCTGATAAAACGTTAAATCTTTGTCTCCAGGTTTTGTTTATTCTCTCAATTTAAAAATCTCAACTGCAATGTCCCTGGAGAACAATAAGGAGGTTATTGAGAAACTGGTTTGTAAATTTATATTTGAGATCTACGTATCAGAGTTTCATGTTTATAATCTGGAACTGGTTTTATCTCAGCAACATGTTTTTTTTTTTCAGGTTAAAGATGAGTTGATCAAACGAGGGCTGACATCAGAAATGAGCGTACGACTTCTGAGGAAACGCTTAGTTCAACTTGCAGCATCCTCATCTAGTGGCTAATCATGGCGATACACCTACTCCCTGGAAATGTTTCTTTAAATTTGGATTTAACCCATTTTTTATAGTATATAAATATATGTTTGTAAATAATACACAATACACTTTAATATAAATGTTTGTGTTCTACCTGATTAAAACCTGGAACTGTGTTTAAACCAAGCATGTGAATCCATCCAAATATATAATTCTTGTATTTATGCTCAAACAAAAAGTGAAGGTTGCCACAGTGAGGAGTTATTTTATTTCAATGGGAAAGTTGGTTAAATGTTTTTCAAGAAAATCTGTAAACATACTTTTTCTGTTTTGAAATATTTTTTGTGTAAATAAACTATATGCTTCAGTGGAAACACATGGAGCAAAGAGGAAACTCATGATTGTGAACTCTAGTGATTAATATCTAACTTTAAGGACTGAAGGCTTCAGTGGTGCCAATGCCAATAGAGCGCTTGGTGTTGTCACCCCAAACAAAATGGATGAGTGGCTCCAACAGAACCCAGGAACAACCTCAGAGAACTCTATCCAGAAAAGCTCAGTCCCAGGAACAGTTCAGAAACTGAACAGAACCCTCAAAGCTCTGGTAGAGGATCTGAGTTTGAAGAGAACTGGAAAAACGTAGGGTAAGAAATAAATCTCTCTCTCTCTCTCTCTCTCTCTCTCTCTCTCTCTCTCTCTCTCTCTCTCTCTCTCTCTC